TGCCTCTAGATAGGCAGAGCCAGCTGTCACTCATGCAGCTGGGCGGATCCAGACATAATTGTCGGGATCCGCTTCAGCTGTGGCGTCTCAGTATACCGTGAGCTGTAGCTTGCGGTATACTGAGCTTAGGGTGACGGGAGGACGCTAGTTTGTGTCCTCCCGTTACCCTAAGGAGAACTATTGGGAAAAGCCCTAACCCCATAGTTCTCCTTTAAAGCCACCTGAAATCTGCTTCCCCAAAGGCATATTTTAGATTATAGCAAAGCTGCTGAGATTGTGCTACACTATATGTAGTGTTTGTGGACACCTGACCATCACACCTATACCCCATTCCAGAATCATGGCCATTAGAATGGAGTTGCCCCCCTCTGCGGCTATAACAGTCTCCACTCTTCTGGAAAGTCTTTCCGCAAATTTTGGAGGGTGTCTGTGGGAATTAGTGCCCATTTGTGAGGTCACGATGAGAAGATCTGGTTCCCAGTCAGTGCTCCAATATATGCCAAAAGTATTTAGTAGGGATGCACCGATACTAGCGTTCCCAATACTTATCCCAATACTGGAACTTTCAGATATCGGGAAGATGGGCGGTGAGTCATTACACGCAGCCCGGCTTCCTGATTGGCCAGGAAGCTGGCTCCATGCTCCCTCATCACCAGGCCAATCAGGAAGCCGGGGGGCGGGTAATGACCCAATCAGGAAGCCGGGCAGTGAGTCATTACCTGCCCCCGGCTTCCTAATTGGCCAGAAAGCCAGGTCCATGCTCCCTTTTCACCTGCTAATCAGAAAGCCAGGCGGCAAATCATTACACGTTGCCCGGCTTCCTTAATGGGACTTCTGGTATCGGTATTTGGTATCGACAAGTACCGAAAAATAATATCGCTACTCGAACCTTACTCGATACCGAAAAACCAGTATCGGTGCATTCCCTAGTGTTTAGTGGGGTTGAGGTCAGGGCTCTGTGCAGGACACTCGAGTTCCTCCACCAGACTGGTCACACCGTGTCCCTATGGAGCTGGCTTTGTACACAGGCGACAGTCATGGTGGGACAGAAAAAGGTCTTCACCAAACTGGCACCGCAAAGATGGAAGAGCACAATTGTCTACAATGTTTTTGTATGCTCTGGTACGGAACCCTTCATTGGAGACACCTGAACTGAACCAACCTGAATTATTTAGAGATGTGTCCACATACTTTTAGCCATTTCCAATGGTGCAAATAACACGCAATGACTTCTCACACATTTATAAGTTAATGGAACATCTGTGCAAAGATCTTGTGACAGGTTTCTCTACATAATGTACAAATAAAATAGTTACAAAAACATTAATCATTAAACACGGGTTAATCTTTCCCCGTATAGTATTCTGTGTGTGCTGGAACAACAAATCCGGTCTTTGCCTTCCAGAGCTTGCAGTCTCCCCGTCTCATAGGATGGATTTTACCGGTGGGGATATATATCTGTCCAGCTTTGACCCCAAGGCGTATCTGACTTCCTTCTACTCTGCTGGATCCGAAAGAGATAACATAGTCAAGTTTAGACTACAAAAACTTCACGAAACATTCGGACCAGGTATGTAGACTCTTTACCATAGATGGCACTCTAGACCACGGCACTCCAACTGTGGTGACACTACAAGCCCCACAAGGCATTGCAAGATTCTTGACAGCCACAGACAGGACTCCCAGAAGCCAGGGGCATCCTGAGGCTGGGTGACACCCGGAGCGAACTGTCAGTCATTTTGGTGTCACCCCTCCAATGGTGTCACCCGGGTGCGGGCCGCACCCCCCGCACCCCCCGCACCCCCTTTGTGACGCCACTGCCAGAGGCAGAGGCATGATGAGATTCATAGCTTCACCACAGCTACAGGGCCAAGGTTGCCTACCAGTGCTGTAGAGTTTCCAGGCCAGTGACAGATGGACCTCGAGAACTTCTACCTGGGTAGATAAATTCACAAAACTGAATAAAAAAGGTTAACAAATAATACATCTAAAACCAATCAGATCTGAACATTTTTGGTGATTTAAAACACATTTGCAAATGTTTCATGTTTATTATACTCAGGGGTGAAGAGATTAAAAACATTTTGCAATGGCCTATTAAACAAAAGACACTGCACTATCCCCAATCGTTTCTATAAACCTCTGACAATTACTTTGTGACAATTAATATATACAAAATGTTCACTCCAACTTATATATAGTCCATATAGAAATAATCCCAGGAATGATGTCATCCAAAATAAGCGCAATGAAATCCTTGTGTTCACTTTCTTTATATTACATCAGTGAGTGAAATAATCATTATTGCATATAAAGTTCCACAATCACTCGTGACTTCTGCGCTTCAATTCACCATCAATTCATCTCCGGTGATCCACCTCCAGGTGCGCACACACTAGCACACTCACCAGATCATTTTCACCAGCCATGTGGTCTACAAGCGCTCTGCACACCTCCCTGGTGTCCAATGTCTCCCTCTCCACTGAATATCCTCTGCACTGAATCACCAACAGTCGAAAGTGATGAGTCTGCTCGGTGTCCCTCCCAAATCTCTCTTAAGGTGCCCATACACTGCTCGATTCTCGTACGAGAATCGCGGGAAATCCCGCGATCGTACGAGAATCGAGCAGTGTGAACGAAGATGTGCGACCGTCTCTACTGTACGGTCGCACGTCTTTTGTCTAAGGAGCGCGCTAGAAAACCAGCCGGCAATCGTCCGATTTTCGGCTGGTTTGAACGGTGCTCGGGAGACAAATGCCGAACGGGCCGGTGCGCACACGCACACTGCCCGTTCAGCATTGCGGTCATCGGGCTTGTGATGATCGCAAGTACGATCTGCCTGTCCAAGATGGGCAGATCGTACGTTTTTGTAATTACTTTACAACCATCGCAAGACTAAGGTCTTGCGATGATTGTAAAGTGTATGGCCACCTTTAAGGTCACCATATACCTGCCGATTATCGTACGATAATCAGCAGGTGTATGGGCAGCGTGCGACCGCTTCTACTGAACGGTCGCACAGCTTTTGTCTTCCTAGCACGCTGGAAAACCTGCCGAAAATCGTACAATTTTGGGTTGGTAGCGCGCTCGGGAAACAAAAAGCCACACTGCTCGTTCAGCATTGCGGTCATGGGAAGCCCTCGGCGGGGCGGGCTTGCGATGATCGCAAGTACAATCTGCCTGTCCAAGATGGGCAGGTCGCACCACATTTTTAATGGCCTTACAATCATCGCATAACGAAAGTCGTGCGATGGTTGTAAGGTGTAGGGGCAGCTTTATCCACTCAAAACAGAAAACCAAGATGGCACATAGTGTAAAACTGCTAGATGGTAGTTTATTCATAAAAATCAGAACACTTACATGTAAAAGGGCTGTTCAGCGCGGTAAAAACATAAAATCGGCTTGTATAAGCTCAGCTCCGTCTCCTCACCCGGAAGCCGCTGCAGACCTGATACACTAGCGTGTAGCTCCTCCCTACGCGTTTTGTCCAATGAACTTTCTCATGGGTAGCATACACGCTGACTCCAGATCACACATTTACATACCCCGATCTCACATACCCCGATCTCACATACCCCAATCTCACATTTACATACCCCAATCTCACATACCCCGATCTCACATACCCCGATCTCACATTTACATACCCCGATCTCACATACCCTGATCTCCCCCGATCTTACATTTACATACCCCGATCTCACATTTACATACCCCGATCTCACATTTACATAGCCCGATCTCCCCCGATCTCACATTTACATACCCCGATCTCACATTTACATCCCCCGATCTCCCCCGATCTTACATTTACATACCCTGATCTCACATTTACATACCCCGATCTCCCCCGATCTCACATTTACATACCCCGATCTCCCCCGATCTCACATTTACATACCCCGATCTCCCCCGATCTCACATTTACATACCCCGATCTCCCCCGATCTCACATTTACATACCCCGATCTCCCCCGATCTCACATTTACATACCCCGATCTCCCCCGATCTCACATTTACATACCCCGATCTCCCCCGATCTCACATTTACATACCCCGATCTCCCCCGATCTCACATTTACATACCCCGATCTCCCCCGATCTCACATTTACATACCCCGATCTCCCCCGATCTCACATTTACATACCCCGATCTCCCCCGATCTCACATTTACATACCCCGATCTCCCCCGATCTCACATTTACATACCCCGATCTCCCCCGATCTCACATTTACATACCCCGATCTCCCCCGATCTCACATTTACATACCCCGATCTCCCCCGATCTCACATTTACATACCCCGATCTCCCCCGATCTCACATTTACATACCCCGATCTCCCCCGATCTCACATTTACATACCCCGATCTCCCCCGATCTCACATTTACATACCCCGATCTCCCCCGATCTCACATTTACATACCCCGATCTCCCCCGATCTCACATTTACATACCCCGATCTCCCCCGATCTCACATTTACATACCCCGATCTCCCCCGATCTCACATTTACATACCCCGATCTCCCCCGATCTCACATTTACATACCCCGATCTCCCCCGATCTCACATTTACATACCCCGATCTCCCCCGATCTCACATTTACATACCCCGATCTCCCCCGATCTCACATTTACATACCCCGATCTCCCCCGATCTCACATTTACATACCCCGATCTCCCCCGATCTCACATTTACATACCCCGATCTCCCCCGATCTCACATTTACATACCCCGATCTCCCCCGATCTCACATTTACATACCCCGATCTCCCCCGATCTCACATTTACATACCCCGATCTCCCCCGATCTTACATTTACATACCCCGATCTTACATTTACATACCCCGATGGGCAGGTGTATAAAATATGAGTTTTTGGCTACAAAAGAGCTTAAACCCCCCCAAACAATAATATATTTTTTGAAAGCAGAGGTCCTGTAGAATAAAAAAAAATTCTAGGTGCAATTTTTAATGTCGCACGGTATTTGCACAAAAATTTATCAAACCAGTAATTTTAGGATAAAATACACTAAAATGAAATTTGGTGCACAGACAGAATATATTACCCATATTTGTGGTAAAATATAAAAGACGGGGTCACGTCGGGTAATTAGATACCAAACATGTCAAGGCTTAAAATTGCATGTGCCCGTCAAACCGCCAAAAAAACTACAATACCCAAAATTTCCCATAGAAGACGCTTTAAAAGCTTTTACTGTTCATCACTTTAGTGCTATCAGTGATTGATGGCCCTTGAGTTATTGCTCGCACTTCGACGTTCGCGGCGATATGTAATGTGTGGCGCAAATTTCGTTTTTGCACTTAGGCGCACCCCTGACACGTGTTTATGTTTGTATGTGTTGTATGCAGTTTTATATTTTTTTTATGTTACTTTCATTTAAAAAAAAAAAATGTTACAGTTAAAGTGACAATAAAGTTTTTTTAAAAACTGCATGCGGGTGCACGCCGTCCATAGACTTACCTTGCGTCTCTCCTCGTCTCCCGGCCAAAAATCCGAACTGCGCATGCGCCAGCCATAAGATGCTCTGCGGCCCCCCGATCAGTTTCGGATTTTCGGGCAGGAGCGTGCGGCAAAGACGGGGGTAAGTTTGAACCGCAGTTAAAGCATTTTTGTTTAAACTTTTTGTATATATCTCCTGCTTGCTAGCAGTAGATATATGTAAAAAAAAACGGAGGCTTTAGAAACCCTTTAACTGTATTGCTATCACATAGCGGGCTAACAGCCCCCTATGTAATAGCAAATATGATGTGACAGGTCCTCTTTATGGAGACATCAGGGGTATTTCAGAGCCCTAATGTCACATGGGGCCATAGCCGGCAGAGCCCCCCCCCCCCC